ATATATACACACACACACACACACACATATACACTGTGCAGGAATTTTATATTTCTGATAAACATTTCAGTGCATTCATTTATTGATACTATCTATGCGTGCAGATCTCCATTGCAGGTAAAGTAACCATCGTATTCTTGTAAAGAAATGAACTGCTTGTGATAATTTTTATGAACACTAGAGGGCAGTGGTGCAATATTTCAATAACTTCTAGATGTGTGTTATTTCCAAACACCCTAAATACGTTTATCTTAATGCAGTTTAATAGTAGGACTAAATGTGTGTTTAACTTTATATAATTATAGGAAGACCTTGTACATCCAGAAGAAACTGCTACAGAGGAACCATCTGTGGAGGCCACAGAAGAGGCTGAGCAGGTGACTAAGCAATCCATTCATATGTTTTGCATCCCCTCAGTCTTTATGTTCAAAACTCTTTAGTATTCACAAAATGCATACATGAATCCCTTTTATATCTACTTGCATTATTTTAATTAAATATTTTTTACACATCATTGATTTTAGTGCTGACATTGCACAATGCCACAATTCTGTAGAATATGGTGCCAGCACCATATTTGAGTGGTCCACTAAAAAACCATCCATCCATTGATCTATGCACAACTAATTATATAACACTTCACTAAAACTAGCAACCTGTAACCCCCCAGACTAATTCGCCAGACACCTTAACACAGGGATACTTCCTGTTCTCCCACTTAAGTGCTGTATGCTGGCATAAATAGATAATGGTCACGTAGAGTAAGTACGTAGAGTTCACTGGCCAGCAAAGTCAAACCCTTTGCAGTAATAGGTAGACATACTTCACAACTACTGTAACAGGAACAAGGGTATATGAGTATTAAAATGGAAGTCAATACAACACCTCTCTGACTAAACATCGATTTCTTTGAGTTTACAAGGTCCAAATGCGGACCCTCCTGTCACATTAAATAGCATTCAAGTATAGGTCCCCAGGACTTAATATACAAACCTATGTATACTTTAGCTGTAGAATGTCACTAGCAGGACCAAGGTAAGAAACGTGAAGAGTTATGAAGGGTGCAGAGATGAAGGTAAACAGATGGTGGGCACTGTGGTAGAACAAGGATCGACGGCTGACAACTGGTGTAAATCGTGGACATAGAAAGGGTTAGGGCTGGCAGCTGACAGTAAGCGAAATCCATAAATGTAGAAAAGGTCAGTAACAAAAACAAGCAGGCAGATCCGAGGCACATCCTGACGGGTTTTAAATAAGGTGCCTCTTGTGCCAAGAATCATGTCCAGGGCTGGGGGTCGTCAGCCAGGTCTGGTTGCTCAGTAACTGACAAAGGATTCAAGGAGGGTATACAGTGGCAACGTGCAAGTGCTGGAAGGTTGCATTCCGTTGTCCAGCAACCAGAATGTAGGCCAGCAAGAAGGGAAGCAGCTCCACATCCCATTAAATGGCATTTGGAAGCCGGGAACCACTGGGATTAGAGATAGGGCATCCAATTGCCAAGCAACTGGGACACAAGCCTCCACTGGGAGGCTGCTTAACATTACCCCGCCTTGAGGAGGGATCCTTTGGATAAGACTAGTGTAATTTTCTTATCAAACATTTTACATGTACTGGGGAGGTTGGGATCCAGCAGCGTTCTTCAGGACTGTAGCCTTTTCAATAGATGAGGGGAGTTTTGGGCCCTTCTGGAGTCCACGATCCTTTGTACCTTCTATTCTTCTTGCCCGTTCACAAGTACAGGAGATCTGGAGGCCACAGTAGTCTGTGGGTGCAGAAGTTTCAATAAAGAGACATTAAACATATTATGGATTTTAGGGAGGGTAGTTTTAAACAAAAATACACAGGTTTTATCTTCTGAATAATCTGGTACAGGATGATGAACCTGGGTCCAAGTTACTGCAAGGGCACTTTGAGAAAACATTGTTGCTGACCTTGAATACAGGAGATGAGCACCAACAAAGGGTTTCCACGAGAATGCTGCAGATGTCAAATTGTTGGAAACCAGACCTGAGCATAATTGAGGTGGCACCAGGGACACTGGAAGTCAGGCTGGAGAATGAGAAAAGCTTCAGATTATATCCATGGACACAAAAGTACAGTGACACCCCAGAGGAAGAATGAGGGGAATGATTTTGGGTGAATTCAACTCACAGCAAAAGGGACACTCAGTCGAATTATGCGATACAAAGAACCAAACAAAAAGCTTCAGGTCCTTTTTAGTCTCGCCATTAGTCTGGTGTTAATGGTCAGAACAAAGGGTAACTGAGACCCCCAGTGGCAGACAAAAGGCTTCCCAAAACTTAGAGGCAAAATGTAGGCCCCAGTCATTACAATATCTAATAGAATACCATGAAGCCTGAATTTGTGCTGTAAAAAACAAAGATCCATTAATAGGTGGGTCCAAGGTTGGTTGAGAATGGGACAAGGCACAAAGAGACCAGAAGGCTTGGTTCTTGGAGATTTAGGCCTGGCTCAGATTTCACAATATTGCATGAGTTGCATCTTTTCTCAATGATACCATAAGTGATGGGAGATTATAGAGAGATTCTTGGAGATGCCAGGGTGCCCTACTCTTTGGGAACTATAAGCCTCTAGGACGGGGGTAGGCAACCTTGGCTCTCCAGCTGTGCTGAAACTACAAATCCCATAAGGCATTGCAAGCCACAGGCATGACTTCCAAAGGCAGAAGCATGATGGGATTTGTAGTTTCAGCACAGCGTGAGGTTGCCTACCCTTGCTCTAGGAGAAAAAAAAACAGGTACAAAAGAGACGGTGTACAAGTCAGTATACATGATGAAGGTGGTTGGGGCAGCTTTATAGACATTATAGAGAGATTCTTGGAGATGCCAGGGTGCCCTACTCTTTGGGAACTATAAGCCTCAACCAGAACAAAAAACAGTCAGTATACATGATGAAGGTGGTCTGGTCAGCTTCAAGCCAATGAAGCTACTCCTCCAGGGCCCCCTTGACCGCCAGAAATTCTCTTTTACCAATATCGTAATTCCTTTTAACAGAGGAGGATTTCTTGGAGTTAAAAGGCACATGGGTTAGGCTGGTTTGTGGATGGCAAACTTTGTGAGAGTACGGCTCCAGCACCAACTTTTGAGGCATCAACTTCAAAGGAAAATGAGAGGGTTGGATCCGGGTGAGTGAATACAGGAGTCTAAAATAAGGCTCTCTTTAGAGTCTCAAAGGCTGAGACAGCTTCAGGGGGCACGTTAAAAGTACAGGCATTCTTTCATATTAAGGACGTAAAGGGAGCAATATGCGTGAAAAAATAGTTAGTGAATGTTCTGTTTATGTTGTCAATCTTTCAAAGTGCTGTATCACTTTTAAATCTTGGGGTAGAACCCAATGGAGGATTGCATGGACTTTGTCAGGATCCATGCAGATTTCAGTGTCCCAACTGATATATCCAAGAAAGGAGACTTGAGTTGATAAAAAAATGTATTTGGAGAGTTTGGCACAGAGAATGTTCCCAAAGGTTGGACAGGGCAATGAGAAAGAGAGTGTTCTCTGGGTTCATACTGGCAGCAGGAGCCCCTGAGGGTAATTTGGTTCAGCATGTCTCTAACATAGACAACAGTCAATGCATATGGCGAGGGCCATGGCTTGCACTAAGGTGTCGGAAGTAGGGTAATAACCTAGACATGGAAACTATGATGTTCACAGCCTGAATTGGCTACACATGCCCGGGTTATTACATCCAGAATCTGCTGTCCAGTGCCAGAATTCAGAAGAGTACTGTTCAGCCGAACGTCTGTCCTGCCAGATGGCCCTAAGGTGTGTTTCAGTGGTTTAATCATCATAAAGAAAGCTCAAATCATTAAAGATGACATCAACAAACTAAGGTGGAATCAGAGGGGAAAAACTAAAAGCCCAGGCTTGCAGGTCACTTTGGAGCAGAAAAATAATGATCCTGAGACTTTTGGTCTTGGACCCTGAGGAACAAGGCCTGAATTGGAAACAGAGCTTACAGCTGTTGACAACTGGGAAAACTGTGTGGGAGCTGGGGCCATTTCTTGGTGCGAGACCCTAAGGGGTATATCTTAAGCCTGACAGCTCAGATCATCAAGTTTACAAGCTAATATTTGTGCCTGAGCAAGATGCATGCACAGATGGGGTCTGGCTTTTAATAGGGTAAGATCCAGATGCCAACACTCCAGTCAGAGTAGATAGCAGGCAAGCGTAGCTTAACCTTTTGCAGCTCCCTTCCCTTAAGGCATATAGGCCTACCAGTATTAGGTTGCCCCCAGGCCATTTTACACAGCGCTACATACTCTGGCTGTAGAATGTTGCTAGCAAACCAAAGATAGTAAAAGGGGTGAGGTACCGTGCAGAGAGTCAAAACCAGATGATGGCCCCCCTGGCACGCTACAACATGGACAGGTGGATAAGAGCTGGTCTAATCCATGGACCTAGAAAGGGTCAGGAATGGCGACAGACCATAAGTGTATCCATAAATGCAGCAAAGATCAGTGCAGGCAGCAGACAGCAAGGGAAATCCATTAACATTGCAAAAAAATCAGGGCAGGTGGCAGACAGTAGGCGAAATCCATGCACGTATCTAAAGTCAAGGCAGATGGCAAACAGTAGCTGAAATCTCTAAAAGGTCAGTAACAGGAACAAGCCGAAAGATCAGGGACTCACGGTCAGCAGGAACACTATCAAAAGCACAGAGGCACAGGCTGATGAGCTTTAAATAAGGTGCCTCCTGCAACAGGAACCAATTCCAAGGCCAGGGGATATGTGCCAAAACCTGGCTGCCCAGCAACTGACAAAGGAGCCAAGGAAGGTATGGAGTGGTAAGCGTGCAGTAGTGGCCACCACTGGGAGCAGATACAACTGGGACTCAAGCTGCCTCTGGAATGAGAGAGACTACATAGTAGTTTTTTAGTTGTAGTATTTTGGGCAATATAGCAACTAAACCCTTATATCTACACACTCTTTTTCTTAATAACACATACATTTGTGTCCACTCCATATTTACACTTTATTCCCACAAGTTTGTGTGTATACAAATAGATATAGTACAGGCTATATTATTTTTAAAACTGCTATGCTTAGGACTGCTATGCTTAAGAACATTAAGAATAGTATATAACAAAGTATTAATTCATGGACTTTAATAAATTATATCTTTTTCAGGCTGTTGAAGGAGAAAATTAGTCAACTGTCTTCATTTGCGGCTGAAAATCCTTGATGATTTTATTTATTACCACAGCAGGGAAGCCATAAATGCCACAGCTATAGGCACCCACTATCCATTGTACAGTTCTTCATGTATCTGTAAAGATTCATCTCATTATAGTGTGTGTTCAGATAAACAAGTCAGCTCTATATACCTCACTTATTACATACTGGTTTTATTTTCTGAAATGTAGAGCTCATTTTACTTTACTTTTTGTGTCTTGTTACTAGGATTCTATTAAGTTTTTATTGTCTTATAAACAAAATAATGGCTTAATCATATACGGGGAAGATTAATGTCTTCTGTTCTTTTCATCTTGTGATTTACGTCAGTTTTTATTTCACCTCCATTCTCACATTCTAGTTATCAAGTCTGCTGTGAGAATAAAGTTTAAGAACTCTTTGCAATATCCTGGATAAGGTCCTGCACATTAGTTGACAAGTACTTGATTGATACATGTAATCCATTTATATACATATTTGGGATGTCATGCTTGAGTGGCCTAGAAGTAGATGTCCTGCAGGGATATCTGCAAAGGCTCCAAAGAAGTTGGGACATACAACATAACAGTGTTTTAAAACAAGAGTGTAGATAGATCACTCCAAAAACATTTCAATAGAATCAAGGTCAGGTCTTTGACTTGCCTATTCTAAAATTAACATTGTCTTCTAGAAAAGCTGGCTGCACACTGGATTCTGCTTGTACCACATTACTGGTGTACTGTCCAAGGTCCACCAATGCTGACGCATTTCACCCAATAACGGGCTTAGTTGTAGAGTTGAAGGCGGACCAGGGTAGGCTGTGCTTTACACCATCAAGTTCACGTGCATGTCTTTACATGGTAACACAGTTCAAGGGGACCAGCCTTGTAATGACAATTTACCTTGTATTACCATGTAAATACATGCATATGAACTTGATGGACTAAAGCACACCCTCATGTCTACAAATAAGCCAGTGATTGGGTTAAACATGCCAGTAGGCGGACCTTAGGTGGCACTCCAGTGATGCAGTAGAAGCTTCAATAAACTGTTCCAGTGGAAGCTGGTGTGCGGCCAGCTTTTCTGTTTGTATGAACTAATAATGGAGCAAGGACATGCTCCCAGCGGCAAGCGCCCAGCTCATTCCTTTCCTGAGCCATGTAAGATAGGTGCTTCTTTTGTGTGTTCTCCTTGCATAGATTTTCTTCTGTTTGAGCTGTTATAAACTCCAGTTTTTGATCACTTATGTTACCGTGCCCAACTTCTTTGGAGTCCTGGCAGATATCCTTGTAGGACATCCACCCTTAGCCAGAGCAGCAATGAAGTATCCTTCTGTAACCCTTTCCTGACCTTAAAAACTCTTCTTCTGAAACCGTGCACTTTTTGTTTTCTGTTATGAACAGCAGGTTACCTAAATTGCATACTATTGTATATAACAGATCATATAAAACCCACATCTGAATTGATTGGAATGAAGCCTGAATATAATTACCTTCGTTATAGGATGTTATTAACCTAAAAGTAAACATGCTTTTTCCACATACAACCTTAATTGATAACACTATTTGCTCAATAAAGGTATGGCAATGTAATGTGCCCCATGTTCTGTTTAACAGACTATATTAATGGTATAAGAAAAGATCAGACCACATTTTAAGAGCCATTCATAAAGAAATTTGAAAAAATTCCTAACGGTTCACACACCTTTTCTCACAGTAGTATGTTTGCTTTTTTAATTACTGTATGTCAAAACTATGGCTGCCATTGAATCCTCATTGTTGTGTCCCTTTCTTGGCATATTGGCCTTTATTTTTTTTCTTGGAAATTTTATTTCTTACCAACATAAATAAAACTGAGTTTAGCGCGTAATTTTTATTGCATATTTTAAAGAGATCAAATAAAAACAAAATGTTGAGAAGTTAGATCTGTGCTCATTAGGTATGTTGCAATCGAACAGTTATTGACATAAGTTTAGAACCCTAAAAAATTGAAAGCATAAATTAACCAAATCACTAAAATATTATACAAGCTTTAACATGTTAATGTAATTTCAAAAGTAATTTACAATATTTTTAAATCTGCAGCTTTAATTAAAATACCTGATAATAATGCCATTTAGGTCCTTGTTCATTCTCTTCTTGTAATGGGGTGACGGAACAAGTATGCTGTTCCCAATTCAGACAGACTACTTCCTCCTCCGATGCACCTAATTCACAAGGCTGGGCTTAATTGTACTAAACACCGCTTAGTGGGTAAAACACTTAAGGATGAGGGCCCAGGTGGGGACTCTATGTTCATGTTGTCTGGATAAATACCATTACAAGTATGTGATTTTTCATCAGCATCCAGGAGGTCTTCCCCTATGGGATGCTGATGCTCTGTCCCATTCTTCTAATTCTTTTATTTCTTGTCACCCATCACATGGGCTTTTGGTGGAGTTCACTGCTGTTCTCATCACAAACCCCCACTTGAGAAATTATAAGAGGAAAGATAGAGTACATTCATGTTCACAGGAATTGGCTGCAAAAAGGTCTGCAGGAGATGAACAGCACTGAGATACATCAGAAAATGAAAAAAAGGTGCAAAAAAAGTTTTCATTTTGAACAAAAAAGCCAGTTTATGATACACAATTGGAAACCTTAGTTGCATTCCTTTGGAATTTGTTTACTTTAAAGCATAACTTCAGCTAAATAAATTAAAATAATAGTCCATTAAAAAAAAATCCTGTCACTCCGGGGCTGTCACCCATAGTAATTGACATCCACCATATGATGTTAGAAGTCTTCCAATCTGAGTGATGACTGGTGTAATTTAACCTACTTCCATCCTGGTTGTCATGGACATGCCCCCTTGTTTTTCTATATTGTCGTAGCATGGTCGCAGCTCACCAAATTATATGCTTGTGTCCTTGGATCAGTCACTAAACAATATTATGGTGCCATATATGATCAAGTCATTGTATCTTTCTTCTATCTCACTCCTGATGCCCAAAATAATCATTTTATTTCCTACATAAACATGGAAATAAATTGAGCTATGCCTATATACTGTATCTTAGACTTAAGAGCTATACTTGGTTATGCTTAGCACACACAAAGCATAACTGGTTTGTAGAGAAGACGTGGCATAACATTAATTTTCAGGATGTTGCATCTACCGAACCATGATAATTTACCTGCTTGTCATCTCAAGAGGTCTAACCTAATGTCATTGAGTAGGGGAGGGAGGGAAGTTAAGGTGGAAGGTGTGGGAAAGGTCCGCCGGGATAGTAGTGCCTAGGTAATCCAGTGATTCTGTCGCCCATCGAAATGGGAATGCCGACCGTAGGCCTGGGAGCAGAAAACTGGAGACGGCTACATTGAGAGCTGTGGATTTTTGATAATTGATGAGGAAAAAAGACAATGCCCCGGATATCGCATTAGGTTTGGTAGGGAGACACTAGGGTCAGTAAGAAAAAACAGCAGGTCGTCAGCAAAAGCCGTCACTTTGTGTCTACCCCCTCCACCCAGGTCCACCCCTGCAATATTACAATTAGCTCTCACTCTGCAGAGAAAGGGCTCCAGGGTGAGAATGAAGATAAAGGGCAACAGTGGGCAACCTTGCTGCGCGCCGTTTGATATCGTGAAGGCGTCTGACAGCACGCCATTTACCCGGACTTGTGTCGTCGGTTTGGAGTAGATCGCCATCATCCACAACATCATCATCTCACACAGGCCCAATGCCCGGAGCGTCAGCTCCATGAACGCCCAGTTTACTCGGTCGAAGGCCTTCTCCGCGTCTGTAGAAAGAAGCATAAGTGGCCGGGACCGAGTTGAGGACGCGTGCATGACATCTAGTAACATGTGACCTTGTCTCTAGCTTCCCTAGAGGGCATGAATGCCACCTGCTCTAGATGGATGATATCCTGTTGATGGGGGATCAAACTGAATGTCAGTATTTTCATGAAAAGTTTCAGATCAGAGTTGAGCAATGAAATAGGCCGGTAATAAGAACAGAGCAGAGGGTCCTTCTCTGGTTTCGGGATAAGAGTGACATGGGCTGGCAACGAGTCTGTGGGGAATGCCACGCCCTTGCCCACTGCATTGTAGCCCTTCAAAAAATGGGGTAAAAGGATCTCTAGGAGTGCCTTATAATAGGATAAAGGGAGTCCATCCGGCCCTGTTGCTTTACCGGTTTTAGCCCTGCTCAGAGCTTCAGTTAGGGGCTTCTCCATGGATCGTACTGTCTCCTCCGGTATAGCTGGCATTTCTGACTTGGCTAAGTAATCCGAGATCCTGGCTCTAAGGCTTGAGGCCATCCGTGGCAAAGTTTGGCCTTGAAGGTTATATAGGAAAGCGTAGTACTCTTTGAAAACCTCAGCTATCTCGGTAGTCTTACCTACTTTCAAGCCTGAGGGGGATAGTATCTCGGATATAAAAGACTGCGCTCTCTGTGTTCACAATGCCCTGGCCAGTGGTCTGCCACATTTGTCGTACATAGTTAGCATAACCTTGGCCTTGGCTAAGCAGAGTGACTGTAGCTGTTCTCGGAGAGCTGTCAATTCACCTAGGAAAGACTTGCCTATGGATTGTTTATGTAACGATTCCAGGCGGGATATGTCTGCTAGTAGGGCCTCTATCTTGGCAGTATGCTGTTTTTTAATTCTTGCTCCTATTTTTAACAAAGGTGCCCCGGATGTAGCCTTGTGAGCCTCCCAGAGAATCATGGGATCGTACTCCTCAGTGTCATTACAAGCAAAATAAGTTACCAGGTCAGTTTTAATCTCCTTAACCAGGTTGGGGTTATGTAGGATGGAATCATTCAAGCGCCAATTCCAAGAGCCGAGCTCCGTCGGCATAAAGTCAAGGGCCAGGGATACCAGGGCGTGGTCTGATAATGAAATAACGCCAATGGATGCCGCCCGCACCACTGGCAGGTCTCGGGGGTCCACCAGGAATAAGTCTATTCGAGAATACGAGCCATGGGGATTGGAGTATATAGTCTCGTTCTTTAGGGTGCAGCATGTGCCATACATCTACCAGCTGAAATTGCAGCATATTTTTTTTTATCCTCCGGAGGGCAGAATAAGAGAGATGCGAAGTCGACCTAGAGCTATCCAGGGCGGGGTCAAGTACCACATTGAAGTCACCTCCCAGAACTAGAAGCCATTCCGTGAATTCCCCTAGTTGCTCCAGGTTGGATTCCAAAAAAGGAACCTGAACAACATTGGGCATGTATATGTATGCCCCGTACTCTCAAATTATTGCGGCGGTTCCTGTCCTCCAAGTGCTCGATATGGAG